AAGAAATATCATGTACAGGTACAAATTGCCTAAGATGAATGTTATTAATATGCTTATCTAAAATGTACCAACAAAAAATTAAAATTAAAAAAAGAACCAGGAGACAATAAACTTCTGTTGTTTAAAAAAATAGCAATTAATTCATCACAAAACATAAGTAACACATATTTGCTTATAAGTTATGGGTCAAACTTAGAACATTACAGTGTTTACTTCATCAAATGAAATGGAAGGCAGATGCCAGAGTCACGCTGTGATATTTTATTCATCAAACATGCACCAAGCATTTTGATTTTTTCTTATTGTTCTTTGTCTAAAATGAGTAATTACCAAGTTATTTAGATAAAATACTTACATGTGTTATTACTTATAGCTACTGAAATGAAATATAACCCAAATTCTCTAAAAGCAGAAATTAATGTAACAACCATATCTTTTTTTTAACAGCTATACTTCAATGGGACATAGTGTGGTAATCAAGAATTTCCTGCATGAATAATTTCATTTATTCCTGGTAAGTCATTATATTTGTTCATATAGAGTTCACTTTCCCCCAAACTAGCAATGTACTCATTTATCTTCTTCTATCAAACAAAACAAAAATGCCTACTTGCTACTCAGATTTAAGAAAAGGTCGACAATTTTGCAATAGCATGACAAATAAGTTGCTTGACGTTTGGGCTTTAGCTTCCTTTTCCACAATATAAAAAGGCTGAAAGATTTACAAAATGTTTTCTAAACCTGATACCCATGATTTTACAATGAGTAAGTATGTGTAAGTATGGGTTATTTCTGTCTTTAAAAAAAACATTTCTAAGGAATCGTTAATAATGAGGCAATTTTTTTCAAAAATCAAGTAATGTATTGTTACCAAGGAGTCTCTAGATATCATTTACCCAAATCCTAAAAAGGAAAATATCCCCCAAATTTATTCAAGTTTATACAACTTTCCTCCAGGCCATTTTTTCCTTTATCGCATAGAAATTCCATGGTGAAAACAGTTACATAAAAAGTATATAACTGCAAAGTCAAAAATTCAGCATTATGGAGTTCTTTTGCAGGAAGAAAGAATGATCAGAACACCATATGTGAAAATGTTTATATACTAAACAAGCCTGATAAATTGGAACCTTTTCCAGAAACTCTCAGAGAACATACGATGGAACATATTTTTAACATACTGAAATGTAAATGGAGACTTAAAATCCTAATTTTACCAAAAAAGTCCTAGTAAGTATAGCATTTATAGCACTTTTATTCATAAGGATTCCCAAGAACAAACCCAAACACCTGGTTTTACACTGAAGTCAAATAATATGCCACATTTTTTCCTACCCTGTTAATGATTGTTTTTCTACACAGAAGATATTTTTTTCTCTCCTTAAATATATACTATTGAGATTTTTAAGAAAAAAAATAGAAAATTTTCCTTGAAAAATCATTGAGCTACACAACTTTTTCTTTGTTTTCTTTGAGGTTTTTGTTTGTTTTTAAAGCAATGACTATTCTAATAATAGCAACTTACCATATTTAGACATTCAGCTATCACAGGTTTATCCACTGATATGGAATGACCTACAGTGTCTAAAATCAGTATTTGAAGTTGAATTACTGCTACACTAATAAATTAAATACCTGGAGACAACACAGATAATATTTACCAATATCTCACTAAAATGGCACATGATACTATCATGGATAGATTTTACATTGATTAGCTTATTCTTTCAACACAAGCGAACCATCTGATGGGAATAGCCAGGTAACTCCCAACAACAAGCTCCGTGTTTTTTAAGGAGGGCTCTCCTAAATATTTGTTTAATAAAAAGATCTCAGATATTCACATGTATTAGTTACGTGTCAATGCCTAAGATAGAATTTAATCTTTGAAAAGCATTTGATTCTGGTTAGGGTTTTGGTTATCTTGCTTATGCAACTAGCAAATTACTGGTAACTAAATTATTACAAATATTAATTGCTTTGTAAAACTAATTAGGTTAAATTAGCAAAATATGGCAGCTGGAATTTTGAAGGAGACCAAAGAAAGAGGTGTTAGGGGCTGGGGATTTAGCTCAGTGGCATAAGCGCTTGCTTTTCAAGCAGGCAGTCGTGAGTTCGATCCCTGGTACCGATAAAAACAAAAAAAGACCAAAAAAAAAGGAGGTGTTCATCCCATTACTTGGAAAGTTGTACAAGTGTAAAGATTTCTGACTTGCTCACATGTATAGCCTCAGCTTTTAAAAAAATCTGGCACATGGTAAATCCTCAATAAATATTTGGTAAATAAACAAGGTGGCTGATAAAACATGTAGTATTTTATCTCTATACATGTGTTTTAGTAGAGGATAGAAAACAGAACTCATTTGTGGAATTCAGAAGCTCCAATATAAGTTCACACTGAAATCCGACTCTGGCAAAGGGGCTAGAATTTGGGATTACCAACTGTAAAATACGAGTAAATTTACATCCCAGACACTGTTTGGCTGACCAAGCATGGGCCTGGGAGACATCAAGAGCAGGTAAGCAAAAATTCCAAGTCCTTATCCTTGTGCATGTATGCGGTACCCGTGCCAGCAATAACAAGCTAGTTTTTCTGGCAAACTCATTGAAATTAAAACAAAACCAATATGTTCATTGTTCTTCAAGCTTAGGGTTTAGCTATCTGTGAGGATGGCCTGTAATTATTATCAATTACTTCTAATTTGAAGGTATTTAAAAAGGTACCCACCCTTCTAAGCAACTTTTAAAGAACAAAGAATAATGGGGCTGGAGATTCAGCTCAATGGCACAAGTGCCTGCCTTACAAGCAAGCAGTCATGAGTTCAATACCTGGTGCCCCCCACCCCAAAAAAAGAACAAGCAATAAGACTTGAATTTATCCTAGAAAAGCCAACAAATCACAGGTTCAGGGCCCAACTTTGACACTCTCCCTTGGAAGGAAAAGAACTGTCATTTGTACTTGACTTCCTGACCATGCCTGAAATAATATGAGCCACCTCTCAAATCTGGAATGCCTAGTCTGGCCAAGAAAGTCATGGGGGCAGTGGTTGCCCCAGGCAGAGGCAAAAGAAACAGGAAGAAAGCAAAGTGGGAATGGAGATTGGTAGCTCATGAGGGTGACCTCATCAATAACTTCCTCAAGTGTCGCTGGATTTCAGGACATATGACTTGATAGCCTTTTCCTGACAAACTTCAAGCTAGTTATACTCGATTAAGTACCTTCTTAGTTCCAAAGCCTGTGGTATCTGGGTTTGAACATGATTCATTCCATAAACTTTGGGCTTTAAATGATAGCATTACACAGGGTGCCTCTGCAAAAGCCCCTGATTGGGACATTATTTTATTTATTTATGACCCTTAATTGGACACTTTATAGATAAAAAAAAATAAAAAAGAAGTTTGGTCTTAAAAACTGTAGTGGAATTCATCCTCTCAGAAGAGTTTCAATGCTTTCTCTGGGAAGAGTTTCAGTGCTTTCTCTGAGAAAATAACTAAATGTACCCTCCCTTTTCCCCTCCATTATCACAAAGATATTCCCCTCAAAATGGTTGTTATTTTTCCACAAATGTACACACACAAACAGTCATCTATTGCTTTCATATAAAATTTCATCTTCCATTCTGTCAGTCTCTTTATCTTTTGCTCCCCCACTTGTAATTAGCTAGAACAGAGGTACAATGAGTCCTATATTTACAGCCTTTTCTACCTTATTTACGTATTTAGGGTTCTTTTGCTGCCTTATAGCCTAAGTTTAATTGTGTTGGGAACAAAGCATCACACAAATCACCCAGCCTAGGATAAGAGAAGACAAGTTAAAACCTCCCAGGAAGATTCTGTAGACAGTTGGTCTCTCTAAGTCTACAAAGCGCTTGGTATTTCAAAGGTCAGTCTTGAGTCTCTCCATGTTGATGAGTAACGTTAAATTGTTTTGACTTTTTACAAAAATATTTAGCTGTTCTTATTTACATAATTTCATCTACAGCACCCACAGTAGCCATGTGCTTGAACAGAATTCCTAGATGGCGGAGAAGACAGGAACAAGATCCCAAGATCTTTTTCCAACACAGTACCGAGCTGAGAAAGGTTAAATCACAGCCCATTTTCTGTGGATTCTTTTTCGACTTCAAACTATGTAGCTATGTTCCTCTGTTTTAAAGAAGACAACACAACAACACAATGAAGAAATTCCAGGATTACTAAGAAAACATAATTATCCTAAATTACTTTAACACTGGTTTCTACACACAGGAGAGACTGTGGACTGCTTCCTCTCCAACCCCTTGCATAAAACCTCCAAGGAAAGGAAGGGCAGAATCTAAAGACACCACATCTCCAACTCACATCAAAGCCTTAGGTGAAGTAGTCTAAGGACAGTGTCAGCCCAGCCAGATGAAGTAATTCAAACAACTACTAGTTTTGTAAGGCACTTTTAAAACGACGCTGTCAACGCTGGGCTTCAACACTGAAACTCCTTAACTCTCAAAACTCATTCTTTTTTATGAAACTTCAATTAAAAAAAGAAACCACGAGTATGATTGGCAAACATATGTTTCTGCATTTTCTTAAGCCTTACAACTGGGCTCCACCCTTCAAGTTCCCTTCTTAGTAATTACCACACCGCAACCTGCTACATCTCTCAGTCCCTCAAAATTCCCCCCAAGATAAGGAAAAAAGTACTCAGGGGAATGCGGGGGACACCTCAAATTGGCTGATTCCGTCCCTAAAAGGCAGCCAACTGGCCCGAGCTCCTTCGGGGAGGGCAGGGGGAAAACGCTTTGGTGTTGCCAGGCGGTGGGGGAGCCGGCGTAGATCGCTTTCGCCCAGGTCTTCCTTGCTGATTGGCAAGGTCACTGGGGTCCAGCTGGGGGGGCTCCGTCTGGTCAACGTGTGGCAGCAGGCCTCCCCTGCCGCCTCCTGCCTAGCACTTTCCGGACCGGAGGCTCGCGGCCGGCCTCCCCCGGCGCTCGGCACCAGACGGCGCGGGCGCGGTTCCCACTCACCTGACCACGTTGGGGTGCTCGAAGGTCTCCAGGTGCCTCAGCACCGCCACCTCGCGGATGGTGGAGAGCGGCATGCCCTCCTCGCCGGTCTGCACCCGCACGCGCTTCAGTGCCACGAATCGGCCTCCGTTCTTCAGGTCACGGGCCTTGAACACTTTCCCATAGGCGCCCTCCCCGATCTCGGCCACGCACTCATACTGCTGGTCGGCGCGGCTCAGGCCGTCCTTCTCCATGCCGCCTGGCGCGGCGCCGCGGGGTCGGACGGGGTGCGCTTGCTTGGTTCCCTTCTCCGGGACTCCCGGAGCTCGGTCTCGCTCTCCCTTCGCCCCGGCCGGCACGACCGCTGGAGCTCGCGCGGCCGCTGAGGCTGGCTGGAGCGACCTCCCGGCGGGCTGGCGCAACCTCGGTGCCGCAGCCGCGAAACTCCGCCTGCCGAGTCGCCGCCGCGGAGGAGCGCGCCGATCCCTCCTCTTCCCTCCCCAAAGCGAAGTCCTCTACACAGACACCGACGCGATCACACAGTCTCTGCCCCAGCGTGTCTCCATCCACGATCTCCGCACCTAAAAGAGGAGACAAGAGGACGAGAAGAAAGTGTAATCAGACATCCCAGACGCCCCACGCGGGGTTCCTCCAACTCCCCTCCTCCTCCGGCTCGAAGCTCCCCACGCAAACCTCCACGCGCTCCGGCCCTCTCCCAAGCCGCCGAAGCCTGCCTGGTTTCTCGTTACTTTTCTTTCCCTGCAGGGCTGGAGCCGTCTTCGCGCGGAGAGGCGGCAGGGGCCCCTCGGGGATGAGCGCGCCGCGCGGGACGCAGTGGAACGGGAGGGGGCGTGCCGAGCAGCCCAGAGTGTGCCGGGAGCGCGGGGGAGGGGAGGCGCCGGGCACGTCAATGTCACGGATTCATATTTATACCTTGATGATCGCCGGCGCTGCTGCCCTCCTCCCCTCCAGAGCCGGGACGTGCAAGGAGAGACTCGCGGGGGCGACGACCAGGGGTCAAGCACCTTCTGGCGTGGAGGGACTGTGGGCTTACTGGTGTGATGCTGCAGAATGTGGATGGGGGACCCTGTAACCCGATGCTGGAAGTATGCAACAAGGGGTGGTCGGACATCTGCTCCGAAATTGCTTCCTTTCTTTCTACTTTCAGTTTTTCTACGAAGAGACGTTTATAAAAACGTTTCTCACACACACTAATGGGTCTTTTGGGGTAAAGGAGCCTTGGGAAAACGAATGCTCCCTCCGAGTGGAGGACCTTACTGGTGGAAGCACTGGGAAGGGAGACAAGCCATCTATCTGGTTGGGAGGGCTGGGGCCACTCGAAGGTCGGCGGGTGAGGGGCCCGTGGTGGTGCTGGGGGTGGAAATGGGGGATCCCAAAGGTGGGGGGAAAGGGGTGTCCGTCATGTTTTGACTTGCCGTGTCCTTAAAGAACAACGTCGGGAGAAAGGGGCATAACCGGGATTCGCCCTTAAGTTTTCAATTTCAACCCCGGCAAAAACGCGACCTCTCTAAAAGGGTGGGGGTGGGGAGAGGAAAAGCTGCGCTTCCCAGGGTGACAGTGAAGGGGCTCTGCTCTCCGGGCTGGGCCAAGGAAACGTTTCTTTGCCACTGGGACCGTGCCGAGATAGCGGAGGTGGGCCGGCTGCATTCCCTGTTCGGCTGGAGGCCAGGTCGCTTCGGCGCCGGGAACCCCCCCACCTCTGCACAACAAAGCGCTTGGAAGGGAGGGCACCCTAAATTTCCCTTTCCATCCAGTTCCTCTCCAAGACCCAGGGAACCTCCCTCCCCCACTGCCGCCGCAGCCTCGCCCAACTTTTGCCCCGCCAGCCGTGGGACGGAACTCCCAGGACCTCTCGCAGTTACCTGCCCCGCAACGCCGGCCCGCTCGCCGTCTGCCAGGAATTAAAGGAACGAGGAGCGGCGCGACCCCCACCGTGTGCAGGCGGCGTGGACCGCGGCGAGGGCAGAGCTTCACCCTCAGTCCTTTCACAGCTTTCCTCCACAGTCGAGCAAAGCGCCCCCGGAGCCCGCCTAGGGGTCTGAACCAGGTCGAGGGCCACACAGGTAGCGGGGGACCCGCCGCCGAGCGCACGGCCCGCCCCTCCCCCGCCCGTCCGCGTCCAGCCCCGGCTCAGCGGCGAAGGAAGCGTCGGGGACGTCCCACCCCCGCGGGAAGCTGCGCCTGCCCGCTCCGCACCGCCCGCCCGCGCGCACCCCCCGGGCCCCCCGCACGGCCGTCTGCATCCGAGAGAAACGCGAGCAGCAGTGCCTTTTCCCCCCCTCTCCTCCACTTTTTTTGTTGTTGTTGTTGCTTTCCCACGCTGGCTGAATGTGACTTGACCCCATTTCAAAAAAGTTTGACATAGTGCTTCAACATTTCCGCATTCCTCCGCGACTACAAAGGCTTCAGCCGCCTCCTTCTGCTTTCTGTCTCTGCTCTCTGTCTTCACACTCAATGAAATCCTTCATGTGCCTCTGCCGAAGCCTGCCAAGCACCGCAAGGGTCGCCACCGGCGCGCCGGGAAGAGGCCGCACCGGGGGACTGCGGCTCCCAGCGTGCTCACACTCAGATGCACCCACGTGCACACGAAGGGGCGCGCGGCGGCACCCCTGGCTCCTCGCAGCCGGGCGTGCCTTCTCAACGCTGGTATTTTAAAATACTAATTTAAAAAAGAAACTTGGAAACTAAAGCAAGTCTGTGCACCGGCCGGTTGTGTGCACTCTGCACACATTTCACGGCCGCGGAAGCTACAGCACGAAGCCTGCGTGAGCATTTATTTCACGGCGGGGAAGATGAAGCCCACACCCACACCTCCGCGAGCTGCGGGGAACGCTTGTGGAGAAGTAAATGTGGGGCGCGGAAACACTGTCGAATCCGGAGTCCCCCCAGGCAGTGCACTTAAAACTCTGATTCTGATATGAGTGTCCAAGTAGAGTTCAAGTTCCTTCTCGAGGAACTGGATGAGGAGTGTATGTGTGGGTGTTTGTGAGGACGGCTATGTGGGAGCTGGCACAGGGTTTGGTGTCAGAGGTGCCCCTAGTGTGGGATGTCCCCGTCTCGCCAGGTTAGATGAGACGCCTCTCCAGCTCGGGCAAGCTGGCCCCGTAACCTCTCCTGCCTCACTCAGGTCCTAAGGGGTTAACCAGAGCCACTCCAGGGACACAAGGGCTCCCCCTCACCAACCCACATCCTCACCTCCCACCGTGGCAAGCCCCCGGTTGTCCCTCGGAGCCCCACGCCCACCCTGCAGCCCACCCACCCGAACCCGCAGCTCCTAACCTGAGGCTCTCAGTCGCGTCGGCCTCCCGAGTGGGGCGCGCGTGTCAGGAAGACCTCTGCACGTGTCCCTGCGCGGAGCAGGTAACCGGAGCGGGGAGGGAGCGCCTGCTCTCCCCGCGGCTAGGGGGTGGGCACAGCGGTGGAGGGCGGAGGGACTGCGAGCGCGCCGCCTGCACTGCGCGTTGGGGGGCGGCGGGTCCTCCAGGCTGCGACCGGCGCTGGGGGCCTGGGCGGTGGGGGCGCGGGGCGCGGGCAGCCACCCACCCAGCGGCAGGGCTGGGGTCGCCCGGCGAGGTGGCCGGCAAGTGTGCAAATTAAAGCCTTCCGGAGACAGGGGAGGTGGCCGAGCCCCGGCTTGCTAGGCGCCTCCTAGCTCCTCAGAAGTCCTCTCTGAATTGGGGGCGCCCGGACACTGGGGGTGGGGGTGCTAAATGAAAATTTCCGGTGTTCACTGATATTAAAAGTAGAGGATTCTGCAATTAAAATAAGCGGCGTGAGAGGGAGAGTGTGGGACGCGTCGTCGGGAGTCCGCGGAGTTTCCACACCCGGGGTCACCCCGACTTGGGGTTTTGACATTGTGAGGCGGGGATCTCAGCCGTCCATGAGGTGGACCGATGGGAAAAACGCAAAACAACAAACACTAACGTCGCCGGGCCGGTGGGGGTGGTGAATACCTACACTTTTCAAGAAACCGAAAAATCAGACAAAAAGACAAAACAAAACTTTTCTCTATTAAGAAGGGGCGAGTGTGTGTGTGTGTGTGGGGGGGTGTTGGCAGGACGCCTTGAAGAAAAGAAAATAGTGTTCTGTCCAAGCTCTTTTCACTTTCCGCATAAACTACATTTGTTTTGTTTTCCTTCGCTTCCTTTCGGCCTCAGAAAGCCCTATCTTTTCCTTTTGGACAGAGGATATGGTTTGGAAATTCTCAGGCACTCTTGTGGTTAAAGATCTACTTGAAGGGGCTGACGGGTTACAATTATTAAGTAGTTATCAACTGCTGAGGATTCACTAAGATAGTTTTAAGGAGCTAAAAAGACTAAAATTTAATGTAAATAACTCCAAGATAACAGACGGGCGCACACAAACACAGAGGTGTGCTTACTTCAAATTCATTGTAGGAATTGTGAAATTTGAAACCTTGTGTGTATATTTTACCTGCTGAGAAAACATGAACACAGTTATTTTAGGTGAAAATGAGATTCTAGAGGGATAAAAAAGTCTTTAAGACTTTCTACGATGCAGGAAAAAAAAAAAAAAAAACTTAAAATAGCTTTTTAAGAAGAATTCAGTGTTCTCCAAAACCTGTATCTGTAGAATACTTGAAACCCTTTTAAGTATCTTAGAACCAAGAGGAGAAAAAAATTTTTCGATACTTTATAGGGAATTTAAAACCCAGCAAAATTCTATTTGAACTGAAAATATTACCTTTGTAAGTCTTTTGCTTCTTTTGAATTAAATTTACTAATTTACTAATTTAATTATTCTAATAGTATTATTAATTTCATAATAAATCAATTTTTTGCCTTTATAAAATTAATTCTGTATTACAATGTGAAGTAAGGTCAGGGAACTAAAAATTGATACATTTCCACAGGCAACTATTTTGCCATGCATAGTAATAATTTTTTTCTGAACAGTAGAAGCCAATAACTATGTGTCTTGAAGTTTAAAATAATTATTTAAATGCATTTTGTATTTTAGGGTGTATTTTCTCAAGTATAATCCAGTTGCTGAACAAAATTTGAATTTGTATTTATATATAATTTCATATATGCACTTAAAAAGCAAGTTATAATTTCTATATTTATATAAAATATTGTTGCTAAATTGCTGATTGAACTTTAAGCTGGAGACACTAATGGAAATCCTCCATTTTGATATTTGTTCATACTTACGAATGATTTTTTAAAAAGATTCACTAGCTAGTAACTAACATGCTTATATAATCTACAAAAAATGGCCAATAAATGTAATAGTTATAAGAACCATCTTGTCATGACGAGCATTTGAGGAAATATTTTGTTTGAAAAATAGTAAGCTGTAAATTATCTTTAAAATAACAAAAATACTAGATGGTATTATTAATTACTGAGTTTGACA